ATACGACATACTTCGATTTTTTCGTATTTTCCGACCTGAAAAAGATATTTGTGTAAGGTAAAAAGTTGTTTTTCGTGATCAGCAACTCTCACTCTATCAAATGATGTAAAAAAACGGCAAAAAAAATGTTTACTTGAAGTTTGAATTGCCTGCACCTTAAATAGGACAAAATCGATTCCAGATTTTCCTCACCTTTTACAAGTCGTTTGTAATCATGAATTTTTACGTTTATGTATTGTTATAATATTATGTGGAATAGTTGTGTCAGTCGTTTTCAGAGCTGCATCTGAGATTTTTTCGATGTTATCATCTAACTGGAGTTTGCTGATAAATTTGGGTATGACATGTTTTTACTAATTAAAAAACGAAAATAGATTTATAATTGTATATTTTTGTTTGAAAAAATAAGTTCATTGATAACGGAGATGTTAAAATAAAATCTATAAATTAATAATCTAAAATAATAACCTGTAAAAGTAATATGAAATGAATCAGGACGTGTATGAAAACATAATGGTCTAACTTATAAAATTAATAGACAAATTTTTCGCATTAGGTCGGATACTTTTGGAACAGATTAATACTATATAGTGGTTTAAAAGTGGGAATAAATAAAACTGAAAACTAAATATTTTCTGCGTTGTTTTAAACTTTATTTTGTTGAAGAGAAAAGACATAAATGCATGTAATGTACAATGCCGGTCGTTGATTATCACCGTCTGACTGAAATAATCTACCTTTGTTTATTTTATCAATAATTTGCTTGGTATTGGTAAAATCATCAATCGTTGTAAAATCAATAGATTTTTGTTTTAATATTTTACATATTTGATTTTCTATCATTCGTTCATTAACGCATTCTTCTGACTTTCCTCCAATACAGTCCAATAGCATACTAATATGTCCTCGATAGCGCAATCGTTCTAATGTACCATTGCTCAATCAAATGAGTGCTGCTATACTAGTTCCTAACCCAACAATTCCCATAGCACTTGCCTGAATACCCCCTAGAACTTCAATAACCGCAGCACTGTAATTTATTAAACAACATCTAAGAGTACCGAATGCGCAACATTCAATAACAACACCTCCTTCAATTAATATTCCAATACCACAGATTATGAATAAAAGAGGATGTTCTGATGCTCGTTGAATAAATGGTTTATCATAACTATAGTTGGGCATCTGCGACACCGTTTCATGTAAATTATTTATTAAATCTTTCATATCAACATGTAAAGTCTCATTGACCGTTATGGGCTGGCCGTCATTTCTACTATTGGAACAATAACTGAAATGTGTTTCGAGTAGATGTGTAAATGTATTAACTGATTTGGTAAACGATTTTTAATTAATTTTATAAAATAGTATAGAATAGCATGTTTTTCATTCATTAAATTTTCGATTAGTAAATTTTCATGCGAATGAACATAGGCAAAGAACGAACGAAGAAAAGCAGCAGTTAAAAAGTTCATATCAAATTTAGAAAAATACTATGTTGTTCAGTCCCAAAATCTTTAATATGTAATGGTAAATCTATTTCACCAAAATGGGTTGCCAATTTATTTATTTGCGGAGCAACTGTAGTGCGTTTATCAGCTAAAACTAATTGATCATTAAACAAAACTAATTCTTCTCTTGTTTTTGTTAGTATTACAAAAATTGAGTTGTCTTCAAATAATTGAGCTGACGTTAATAAACATTTTGATTTATGTGATGATATGAAATATAAATTACTTCCCTTTGTCGTTATTTTGACGTCCGTATCAAAACCTATAGCTGAGGCAGATTTTACTATAGGATTGAACTCTTTTAATTCGTTCACTAATTGACTTTGTTGAAACAGAGTTGGTTCACAATTAATTTTGTTACATGATTTTAATGATGAAATATAATTTTTCATGAAATGTCGACTGATATTTTCGTCGGTAAACTTTTGACTATTTGAACTAAACTTCGATAATTTTTTTGATATTAAATCAACTAATGTTTTTGAATTTGAATCTAGACAATTTTTTCATATTTAATTTCTCAGTCAAATTTTTGATCATAGTTTAACGATGATGGGTTATTGTCTCTTTTCTCGTAACAATGAATAAATCCGTAGCAACCAAATTGGTTTATATTCTGGAGTCACGTTTACTAGAAAGCTTTTCAAGGGTGGTAGCACTTTATTTAAAGCAGCAATACATTTTGTAACAACCTCAGGCTGAGTGCATGTTACAATGGAAAGAGCAGGGATCAATTCTTCAATTATATGCGAACATAAATCACCAACTGATTTTAGTGTTGAACTTATTCGTTTGCCAGTTTCTACTAAATTCAATATTTTTGGTACACAGTCATTATCATTCACTATTGTCAAAAATGATTATTAAAATTTTTCTTCAATAATCTTCAGCAACAGTTTGATTACCGACAAATGGTGCACCAAATGCAATACTGTAAATATATAGTCTTTCCACAGAACTTTTTCCAGTAAAATGTGAAATAGCACATAAATGTGCCATACTTCCATCTAATGAATGACTAGTCAATATCAAACGTTTATGAGCGTTGTTCTGATAAGTTTCATAAGCAAATCTGTCATGAGGAAATTCGAATGCACGTTTCGAAAAGCCGTGATGTACCATGCCTGATATTGATAAAGTAGTATTAACAATTAAATCAGTTAATATATCTTTCGTATTTGTTGTACGTCTAAATGCTACCCATAACGTTTCGTCGTCGTAAGAATCTATTTTTTTTGTTGTTAATGCTAATAAATATGGATAAGGTGCATCAGGAGCAAATCTTAAACCACATCCCTTAATCGTTAATGGCTGAATACCACAGATTGATTTATATTCTTTATTTCACATACTCAATAGGATTATTCTGATAAACAGCATCAGAAAGAATAACTGCAATTCCGATATCTTCATCATCAAAATTGGCTTTGCCTGAATCGTTTGTAGGAATAATTATGTTTTTAGGAACTGACTGTCGTTGTCCGAGAAATAGTTCCTAGTCTTTCGTCAGTTTACATGAGAAACAGCCATATGGATTCATGTGTTCGACAATGATATCATCTATATATTCAATAGTATCATCAATTTCTCGTAGTTTTACCTTTGGATATTCTACTAAAACCGTTGATCGATCATTATGTGGTATACTGAATGTGTCAAGAATCGTTTTCAAATCTAATATTGCTTCATCATTATTGCTGAGAGGTGTTGATGAATCAACTGCTTTACACTGCTGTTTATACTTAATTTGTATGTTCATAATGTACTATAAATGAAAAATGCAGCTTAGTTACTGTTTACTTTAAACAATAAATTTGCGATTGCTCTTCCAGTATACCCAGGAAGAAATTTTGGACCCTCACAAGTGCTTCGCAGACATTAAAACTTTTTTTTCGCCTTTGGGGCCTTAAAAATCTTCTTTTGACACATTTTAAGGCTTTACACAACTTGAGATTTTTAAGGCGTTCTCTGGAGTTACCCAAGTGAACTGAAGACGTTCGAATGCGTTATTTTTATAAACGTCTGTAATGTAAGTAAAGTTTTAATGTAGTGTAACGTCTTTAGAAAATTTTTTGCTTCTCAGGCGTTATAAAATAAAGTGTTGTCATTCCTTCCCGTTTCTTAATTGACTTGAAGTCATACATTCAGTAGAAAGGATTAGCAGAATTATAATTTTCAACGCATTTGTGCAAGTTAAGGGTACCAAGGCATGTAAACGCTTGTTTGCCGTTGTCGTCATTTAATGCATGGGAATGCGTTAAAAATCGAGCATGTTAATCCAATTTTTCGTAGATATTAAAATTCATTATTCCGCCTATTTTATTCTTCAATAAATGTGAACGCCTTAGCTGTTATATCGCGGACTTCTTCGCATGCATTAGGCAGTTGAAAGGCCTGCAACGCTGTACAACTGGCATTCCAGATCACTATGAATAGTTTTCATCCTCAAGCAAATAGGTACTGTATGATCAATGCAGCAAAGGAAAAATCATTTAAAAAATTTCGAAAACTTTGGAGAATAGTTGAAAAGAAAACAAGTACAGTACTCGACAAAAATATTAGACCCTTTGTCAGACGCTTTATATATCAAGACTGGTTCGCCTGTGAATACAACCGATAAGATAACGCTTACTGTATATGAAGAAAACGTTCACGCTTGAACTTTCAGAGAATGTATACCCCAAGATACTATCGCTAGGATCACAGTTCGTTATTAGAGCCGATCTAATATTCTACGAATGAGGCGGAATGGCTGAGCCTCAATCCTCTGTGCGTCAAGCAGAACCGAAATGATAGCCACTACATCCTCAGAGCCACTACCAACAAAGTGACCCTACATCGAGGATATTCACGATTCTTTATATTAGAGAACAGTGCGCACGACATGTTCAATGTTTGCAGAGATTCCGCTTTTACCACTACTGCAAAATTATGTGAACGATTTTAAAGATGATTACTTTTCTGTCGGAAGAAAACGGGGCATATCACTGTTTGTAGAAACTGTTCACTTTACAGTGCCTACAGACAGTCCCAAGTGCACTTCCTATTCACCGTTTTGTTTACGCGCTTGGTATATAACTCTTAATGATTTTTCGAAAAATTTTTAAAATCTTATCACATCTTAATAATAGCTTACGACATGACAAGCATAGTCTTGCGTAGTCGCGTCGCGCCTACGTCATTCGTCTACGTTCGCGGTAAAAGTAGCGTGGCTCCAAGGGCGGATTCAGTATTCTACGACGGGGCGGTGATTTCTAAACTCTGTCGTCCGAGTC